CAGACCACCTAGGCCCAGTGTTCAAATCTTTGGAAGCTGACTGTAAAGGACAAGATGCCAAAAGAACTTACCAAAAAAACTGGTAAGTTTGCCAAGGGCAGTGGCACTGTGAAGAAATGTTGAGTTGGGTGATTACAAAGGCATCCCCACACACCACTTGCTTTGCTTGGGCCAAAAAAGTCCATGGTGCATAGCTTATCTTTTATAGTTTTGCTAGTCAAGCACAGTCTAGTGCAAGTTTTTTGGTCAGCCTTTGAGGGCTTTCATTTGGATGTGGCCATTAGCCTTCAGGGCTATTGTTTTTGTGTGCCAAATTTGTGCTGGACTCCAGAAATGCCATGCTTGATTTTGTAATTGGTGGGGCAAGTTGGTGAATCAATGCAATGTCTTTCCCAGCCTTCCAGGCTCACATGCTGATGACAACGATGCAGCACTGTGTTGTGTCACAATGCTATGAAAGCAATTGTGTGCTCCAAGCCCAAATGTTGGATCTTGTACACTTTGGGTTTTGCTGGCTGCCTTGAAGCCATGGCACTTTGTCATAAGGCTGAGCAGAAAGTGAAAGAACTGCTTAGCCCTTCTTGCCCCCCTGCCCATCAACAGTAGGCTCCAGCAGTTGCTGGCCATCCTTGAAGAGAACAGATTGCTCTACACAACTGTGATATGCCCATCCTCCATGATTTGCCACCCCCAGAACAGAGGAGGCAGCATGATCAATGCCTTCAACTGTCATCAAAAGGGAGCAGACATCATCGCAGGTGGTGTGAAGCCTGAGCTGTTGCCACCAAACTCATTGGCTGTGGAGATGGCCTTGGAGTCTTCAGCCAAATCTTTCCAAATTGCAGCCAATACGAAAATGATCTTGGAAGCCAAAGGCCTATTGGCACCATTGAAAGGTGATGAGAGATTTTGCACCCTTGCCAACTCACATTTTGTGCAGTGGGCCAGGGCTCTAGATCATGGATGCCAAGGGCCTGATGGGAACCAGCTCACACCACCTTTGGATATGAAACCCTTGTTTGGGCAATGGGTGGTCCTGGAAGGTGATTTCCAGTGAAGCAGAGAGATTGTTTCCTACTCTCCCAGCTTTTGCTGCCATGGCTATGAACAGCCACAACAGCACTCAGATTGCCAGCAATGAGCTGGAGTGCATGATGCAGTTGGGTGAGCTCTACTCTGGTGGCATGAAGCTTGATGATGCTGTGAAAACAGTGCAGAACAGTGCACCAGCTTGTAAGAAGTACTTGGATGATGTGGGGTACTTCTGCAAGATGTACACTGGGGGGGAATCCTTCCCACTTTTGAAATGCTTGGACACTTTCTGTACCTTGTCATTCCCTATTTGCTTTGTTTGTGTGAAAAACACATGGTTGTTTGCAGCCCAAAAGTTTGTGTTGTGAAAGGTGCCCAATTGGAGCCACACCTTCACCACAGCCCACCTTAGGTAAAAGAAATTGCCATTCATTGCTCATTGGGGAAGAGATGATGAACCACTTGGCCTGGTACGATTTCAAGATCCCAGGGAGGACCATGGCTTTGACCAGAATCAGTTTAGCTGCAGCCATGCTTAGCAGCAAGAGGCACCAAGATGGGATCTCAAGGTTGATCTACAAGAGTGACTTTGACAAGCTCAAGGGCAAGGAGACTACAAAAAGTCTTGATGAAATGTTGACAACACTTTGGGACGAAGCCAGCAAACATGACCCTGACTTGGGCCACATGTGCTGGTGCACTGCTGCAGTGAGGATGGTTCTTCACATCCTTGGGAAGGAAAAAATGGCAAAGCAAGATACCTTCGAGTCATTTGCTGCAATAGTGGAGCTTTTCTCTGAAGATCTCAAAGCAGGCCCTGTGGCCTTGCCAGCCAAGCCTGTGCCAAAGGCCCCTGCTGAGAGTTCTTCTGGATCAAGTGTCAAAGACATGCTGAAAGCTTCCAACTCAGAAGTTGCATTGTTCCAAAACAGTCACATCAAGGTTGGTGACAAGTACCTAGTTTGCAATTTGTTGCTTTTTTGTAAAGCAGAGTTGTGCTAAGGGTTCTTGTAGCGCAGGCTACAATCTACAACAAGTGTTTATTCAATCACCTCCCAGGTATTCACACAGTGATCACCTTGACAAAGTGTTCATCCTGGCAGATCTCAATGACACAGAGGCCACCTTTGAGCATCGACCTTTGTTTGACTCTGCTGAGCAAGTGAAGGAGAAGCTGGATTCTTTGAAGAAGTGGAAGCCCACCAAGAAGGAGCCCACCATGATGTGCCCTCAGCATATTTGCATTTCAAGGCTGCCACACAATGTGGACATTGTGAAGAAGGAAATTGACAAAACCATGGCAACACATCTGCTGATGCAGGCCTACATGAGCCACAAGGTTGCTGATGAGTCTTTGCTGGGCTTTGCTACCCACCCATCCAATTTGTTTCTTCTGAAAAAGATCAAGAAGAAGGACTTGAAGCTCTACCCCTTTGGCAATTGTCTACCTGTAGCTGAGAAAGATCAAACCAAGGTCTTTGAGAACACCAAGAATGTGCTTGTGTGGTTCAAGGACAAGCCGTACCTTGTTCAGCCCTTCAAGAATTTGAGCAGCTTCACCAAACCTGAAGCTGGCACCCTGTGCCCTTACTTTTGGGTCAAGAGCTCTGAGGAGGAGGAAGAGATCAATCTACAGACTGTTTGGGTCAACTTCCAGGGGTTGCAGATCCCAACCTTGCAGAATGAAGATGCCATTCCAGAGCACTCAGTGCTTTTGAAGTCTTCTGAGCAACAGCCTCATGAGCCACCAGCCAAAAAGGCTAGATCTTCTTAGGTGCATGAAGTTGCACTGGACAAAACTGTGTGTGGAAAAAAACAAAACACTTGCAACTGTAGCTTGTGTAGCGCAAATTGTAGCCATTCAAGTGAGTCAATGGTGTTTCATTCTACCCTTAGGAAATGTTATTTCAAAGACTTAATCAACCTTGTTACATATTTTCTATTTTCAGCCTGTAGGGCTTTTGTTTATTGTTTGCTTTAGCCTCCAGGGCTTTCATTTTGATGCTCCAAGACTTTCATTTCAAACATGTTTTTATTGGTTGCCATTTGCCAGTGACAGCTCTTATTGTTTTGGCCTGGTTTGGAACCCATTGGCTCTCTCAACTGCAGCTCAGCAGGATAG